ATAAAATATGCTTAAGAGTTGATGATGAATGATTGATGCAAAGATCAGTCAAAGTATGAGAACAAGAAAAATCATATGTATGTGAGGATAGATGATTGCATACATAATGTTGAAGATGAGAAGGTGGATTTCGAACTCTATTGCTTCGTCGGGGCATGAAAGATGGTTCATTTGGTTCATGTGGCTCATTTAGTGAAGTGGGGGAAGAAACATGAGTAGTTGATGAATTATCATTAGGAAGCTTATCATTAAAATTGACCGGGATATATGAAGGGGTAGATGATGAGAATAAAGAATTGTTGTAAGAGTGTAATGGGAATAAATCTTCAAAAAATTTAATATCCCTTGTGTCAAACACTTCTTGAGTTAAAAGATTGAGCACTTTGTATCCTTTATGTATGGATGAATTCCCAAGTGAAACACATGGAACAAACCTTGGCATAAACTTGTCTCTGCCAACTTTTGAAGTTGCTACATAACATAGACATGCAAAAGCTTTAATCTTGGATAAATCGGGTGGTTGATTGAACAACAATTCAAATGGAGTTTGATCTTTCAAGAGCTTTGATGGAAGACGATTCATTAAATATACTGCATGTATGACACATTCTGTCCAATAAATCACTCCCAAACCAGATTGGAAGTACAAAGCTCTTGCGATTTCCAAAATGTGCTTATGCTTCCTTTCAACAATGTCGTTCTGTTGAGGGGTATAAGGAAAATATTTCTGATGTAAAATGCCATAAAGTTTATAGAAATCAATACCCTCAGTGCTAGACCCCATTTCATAAGCATTATACGTTCTTATGACTTTGATGGTTTTTGAAAACTGTGTCTGAACAAGTTTAACAAAGGATTTGATAAAATTGAAAGCATATCCTTTATGTGTAAGCATATGAACCCAAGTATGTCGACTGTAATCATCAACCACAGTGATAAAATATTTATAACCATCATATGAAGTATGTTTATAAGGGCCCCAAACATCGATATGTACAAGATCAAAACAAGAAACAGAAGTGGATTGACTTTGTGAAAAAGAAGAACCATGTTGTTTGGCTTTTGAACATTCAAGACAATACAATAAAGGATTGTTCTTACAATGAGAAGAAACAACATAAAGATTTTGAAGAATATGTAATGGAGCATGTCCTAAACGTCTATGTCACAACAATACATTTGAATCAGCATGCATTGCAAGAGTCTTATTGGTAACCAAAGAAGACAATACATAAAAAGAGAATGACAAATTTGATTTGATGAGTCTGTGATAAAAAAATATACAAATCATTGACTTGTGTGCCAAAGATGCCAAGAGAAAGTTCATTCTTCGATAAAGGGTCCTACAGCATACAAGCTTTGTCAGTGAAAATAACAAAAGTTTGTAATTGTGCAGTAAGTTTTGGCATGGAAATGAGGTTGTATTTGAAACAAGGAACATACAACACTCCTTTGAGAACAATAGAATCATGTAACTGCATTTCTCCAATGAATTCAACAGTGGTATTAAAACCATCAGGAAGACCAATGAATTGAGGCTTATGAAGTTTAGAAATAGAAGAAAATAAAGCTTTGTTAGAACACATATGATCAGTAGCACCAGTATCAATAATCCAAGAAAATTGTTCTTGTAGAATTGAGGAAGATTTGCGAACATTCAATGCAAAACGAATAAAGGAATCTTGTTTACCTTCATCATTCATTGCTCCATTGACCACAGAAAGATTTGCTTGAGTAGATGCTTGACCAATTTTGTGAGAATTGAACAAATCCATGAGTTGTTGATATTGTTCAGGAGAAATTGAAGGAGATGATGCAGAGATTACTTCAACATTCTGAGCCATAGACTTGTTTTCATCTTTCCTTGTTTTAGTAGACTTGAAATTGGATGGAAATCCAATTAATCGATAGCACTGAGCTTTTGTGTGTCCATTTTTCTTACAATGAGTACAGACAAGACGTTTCTTGGAAGAATTATCAGAAGAAGCAAGCATCACGATGACTTCATTGTTAATAATCGATGGATTATTAATTCCACGTTGTTGTTCTTCTTGAAGAATGAGAGAATAAGCAGTGGAAACAGTTGGCAATGGTTTCATCATAAGAACTTGTCCTCTGAGTATTTTATATGAGTCATTCAGTCCCATCAAGAGTTGAATCAGACGTCAAGAAACTTATGAATTGCAGTTGCAGTAGCACAAGAACATGGAGGTAGGTCTTGAACAACACGTAATTCGTCCCAAATCTTGGTCAATTTGGTAAAATACAGTGAAAAATCATCAGTACCTTGGGAAATTGAATATAGCTGTTGCTGAATTTGATGTAGCATGGCTCCATTTGACTGCTCATATCGTTGTTTCAGTTCTGACCAAATTTCATAAGCAGTTTGTAGAAAGAGAACACTTTCAGCAATATTCTTCGATAGAGAGTTTAAAATCCAGCTAATCACCATGGAATTAGCTCGGTCCCAATTAGAATAAGACGATGAAGTAATCAGAGGTTTAGGAATTGTTCCATCAACAAAACCTAATTTGTTCTTGGCGGACAATGAGATCATCATGGATCGTTTCCATGAATTGAATCCAGTTCAATTGAAAACAGAAGTAACGAGAATGGAATTGGGATTATCTGAAGAACTAATGAAAAAAGGATTTGATGAATTGATAATAGTAGAATCATTCAACTCAGATTCCGCCATGATTGATCAAAGATGAAAAGAAATCAAATAAAAAAAATGATATCGTTTTGCTCTGATACCATGTAATGTTCAAGAACACAAGAATGTAGAGAGATGAAGTGAGAGAGAGAGAGAGAAAATGAATTTTTATTCAATCTTCTTAATCAATACAGAACAAGACTATCTACATATATACAGATCTTGAATACGTAAGCACAAATCTAACTACCACTCTAACTAACAGATATGATTAAATTACAAAAATACCCTCAGGTAGTTAAGCAGTTAGATTGATATAACCAACATCCATTATATTTAAAAAGTGAAAGCGCTTTGTGAAGATAAACCTATTAACCAGAAACATGTAAACAAACCTTTTTTCTAGGTCTTGTAAATCGATGAAATATGTTTAAGGAAAAAAAAACCCAAAATTTGTTTCAGTATTTCGTATTCAGTATTAGTAGCTAAATATCTAAATATTTTGCTATACGATAATTTATGGGACCTGTGGCCTCAATGAACTCAATGGAAATGTTATAGGACCAAAAACATCTCCAGCATGTAGCCACAAACAAATCTTGTGGCGTATTTAATTCCCTCGATTGTTTGGTGTATCTAACCGTACATGAAAATTTAATGTATGGTTGTAGAAAGTAGTTTGAAACAGTTAGAAAACCCATGGAACATTTTTCAGCTCCAATCACATGGTCCATTAAACATGTTTACATTAAATAGGAACATTATTATTTAATAATAAGGATGATATAGAATTATAGAAACGTCACTATCTCCGACATAACTTGGGAAAATGGTAGAAAATTATTATTTAATAATAAATAATAAATTAGTATTAAATTAATAAACGTTGTTCATAAAGTCTCTATATTGTATGAGATAGAGTATAATGATACTTGCTATTTAAACATAAAAGATTTTGGGCCCTCAAAATTGTTGGGCCTTGGTTCGAATATGCCATACCCGCCTTGGATTGATCAATCTTGCTAATCTGGAAGAAGGGGTGGCGTTAAATTGTACTCATTGTCCGATATGCGAGTTTGAAACTGAGACAAATAATCGTCTTCTTGTTGGTTGTTCGGTCATCGGTGGTTAAAGATGTCTGAAGTGGTAAGTGATTTTGATCCCCAATTATATGAACATAAATTTTTAGTGCTGCCTTTGGTTGATGATCTTTCACAAGGAAGGCTTTTATTCAAAAAATAATTGGTACTTTGAACTTGTCGTCCTCACTATCATGTGGAAGGAAATATAATATGAGTGATCTAAATAATTAACATAAATGACCAAAAAAGTGGGGGTGATTGAAAAAATTGACCAAGAAAATGGATATTTTAGAAAATAACCACGAGTTCCGTAGAGAGCGTCTCTGCGGAACTCCTTCAGCTCTGAGGAATTGAAAAACTCTGAGGAAGTGACGTGACAGGGGTAAATTCGTAAAAACACACAAAAAAACTTAACAAAACTGAAAAAATTGTCATATAAACGTAGTTTTATAGTTTAATTTGTTATATTTAATCAATGGTATGTGATAAATGGTGAGACCTCGATAAATTAACAAGAAAACACTTACGAAAATCGTTTTTTTGGTTATGATTATGCGAAGAACAATTCCTCAGAGGCATGTGTTTGAAGAACAATTCATCGGAGGTTCCCTCTGAGGATTTGTTCTTCAAACACATGCCTCTGAGTAATTGTTCTTCGCATAACCATGGCCAAAAAACGATTTTTGTAAGTTTTTTCGATTTCAAACATAATTTATTCGATTTTGGTAAGTTCAAACACAATTTTTCGATTTCAAACATAATTTTTTCGCAGCACCCTTTCAATTTTTTTAAGTTTTCTTTGTGTTTTTAGTTTTTACGAATTTATCTCTGTCACGTCACTTCCTTAGAGTTTTTTCAATTTCTTAGAGCTGAAGGAGTTCTACCTCTCTACGAAACTCGTGGTCATTTTCTGAAACATCGATTTTCTTGGTCATTTTTACAAACACCTCCATTTTTTTTTTTTTTTTTTTGGTTTCGCAAATTTTCTCAATTTTTTTTATTCTGTTATGACTTTTATCAAGGTGCAAAAAATGATTGCCACATCATGCTTGGATCATTTACAGATTTACCCACAAGCGGATAGACAGCACCCAGGTTGTCGATTCCCACATGTGACGGTAGTTCCAGAGATGACCACCGAATGTATTCCAAACACCCTCATTCCTCAACCAATTAAAACTTGCCACCTCATCCTTTAATATTTCACCTAACAATCCCATTAGTTACCACTACCACGTACCATGCGGCCCGTCTCACCAGATAAGTCCTTTGTGTACACGTGTTGTAGTAACAAAGCCTAGGTGCTTTCATAACGTGACAACAACAGTCATTCCCATTCCCATTCCCATCGTCTCTCTTCAACATATCTTTCTCTCTACAAAAACACACATACACTGGTGGTGGGAGGAGCTTAGCTTAATCTAGCTGCAATTATGGCAGGAAGGAAGAGAAGGAAACACCGATTGTAAGTCCTCTTCAACAACTCCAAGTGAAAGCCAATTCGGTTTGAGGATTCCTTACTGTTTTTTGTTTGGAGTTTGTGGGTTTATTGATGAATTTGGGTTTTAGGGTTATACACATGAGATCCGTGTTTGATTTTACAATCCAGTTACAGTTTCTGTTCAATTCAAGTGAATTTGGTCCAAATTAATAGTAAGCATGTGTGCGTTTTGCTGGTAATTTACATATTGTCGTAATTCAGCTGGAGTTTATGGAATTTGGTGCGTTTTCTGTAATTGCTTGATTGGATTGTATACGTATGTGACAAATAGTGGTTTTGGTTCATTCATCGACAATTTATAAAGTTTGGCAGGTGTAGGTTTTTAGGTTTTAGGGTTTCTAGTAAAAACTTATGTTCTCAATGTTCGATCTGAGTTGATTATATTTTATCTTCTTACTAGATTACGTAACTTACGTTTCTGTTTAGTGTATGAATCAGGTATTTTTAATGGCAACAGAGAAATTTTGTGCTTCCCTTCTCCTTCATCATTCACTTCTATCTATAGTCTATATAGATCATAAATGTAGATCCTGGTTACGTGATTTTCGTCTGCATTTCATAGAATTCAACTCTTTTCGCAAAATAATTCTTAAAATTTTCCGTTTGTAGGTTGTCTGAAACATTCAAGGATGATAAAAGAGTATCAACGAAAGAAAACGACGAGCAAGATCATCAAGAATCATGGTCAATCCTTCCGTCTGAACTTCTCGAACTCATAATCTCCCGATTAACTCTAAAAGACAACATCCGCACATCTTCCGTCTGCAAAAAATGGCTTTCAGTCGCTTTATCAGTCAGAAAAGTCAACAAACCGCCATGGCTAATGTACTTCCCAAAACTCGGCCACCTCTTCGAGTTCTACGACCCATCAAAACGCAAAACATACTCTCTCGAATTACCACAACTCCATGGATGCAGAATCTGTTACAACAAAGACGGATGGTTATTACTCTACAAACCAAGAACACAACGCGTCCTATTCTTTAATCCCTTCACAAGGGAAATGATTAAACTACCAAGATTCGAAATGACATACCAAATCGTCGCCTTTTCAAACTCCCCCAAATCCCAAAACTGTATTCTTTTCACAGTCAAACACGTCAGCCCTACAGTCGTCGCCATTAGCACCTGTTCACCAAATGCAACCGAATGGACTACTGTTAATTACCATAATCGGTTGCCATTCGTTAGCAGCATTTGGAACAAACTTGTTTTCTGTAACGGGTTGTTTTACTGTTTGAGTTTAACCGGATGGCTTGGAGTTTATGACCCGATAGAGCACACATGGAGCATCCGGATTGTCCCCCCACCTCGTTGCCCTGATAATTTCTTTGTGAAAAATTGGTGGAAAGGGAAGTTTATGGCTGAAAATAAAGGTGATATTTTTGTTATTTACACATGTTATAGTGAAAACCCGATTATTTATAAGTTAGATCAAGAAAATAAAGAGTGGATAGAAATGAAAACGCTTGAAGGTGTGACATTGTTCGCTAGTTTTTTGTCGTCACATGCAAGAACGGATCTTTTGGGTATGATGAGGAATTGTGTTTATTTCTCTAAAGTTCGGTTTTATGGGAAACGGTGTATATCTTATTCTCTTGATCATAAACGATATTACCCTCGGAAACAGTGTCATGATTGGGGCGAACAAGATCCATTTGAAAGTATTTGGGTCGACCCGCCTGATGACGTATCAGCATTGGAAAGCTAGTGGAGAAGGTAATTTCTTGATTTTACTTGATTCTGATTGGTTTCATTGTTATGGCTAAACTCGTTTTTTGTTATTTGCAGTTGTGATTAAAGATCAATAAGTGGAAAAAAATGTGTTGTTGATGTAACATGAGGATTGATGTATATTAGGAGATGCTGTTAGAACCCAAGTAGTAGGATTTAGAAAGTTACATAATTTATGTAGTTTATTATGTAAAAGTAAAGAGATAACTTTATCTTTTTCTTGTGATAATGGTTGTTTAATCATTAATGTACCTGAGTTTTGACTAGATACATGATGCATTTATATGTTTGATACTTTGATGTACCACAGAGTGCATAATATCTTTCAACTTTGCAATAAAGCCACAAGACAACCATTACCAAATGTCACCAAAATTTAAGATATAAAGATAAGAAAAAGATAACTAGCCAAGTTCATTTAAATTCATCAAAGTAGACAAGACTCCATTTTGTCCTCTTCAGATAAACAAGTGCCTAAACTCTCCATTAGCAAGTTGGCAAAGTTGGTTGAAGTTATTTGTATCTGCAAAATATCAATCAATAAGATAAACAAATAATCAATTAAAGAGAATGAAATCATAATTGGTATTTCAAATATTTCAAGCTTTGTGGTGGGTGTCTTTTTGATGCACTATGGTTCCCCACATCAATGGTGATTCTTTTTAACAAAAGCAGGAATCTTTAAACATTTTAAAATTTTCCCAGATAAAAAAAAAAGTAAAAGTAGAACTTAAATGGCAGTTGTTTATAGCATTTGTAGCTACTATCACCTTTACATAAATTATGTAAGTGCTTTTAACCCATAGTATAACATAATTAGCAAGCACCAGTTAAAATAAGAAATTAAACACACATTTGCTAATTCATTAGGATTTGAAGATAAAACGGACATTTCATATTGGGGGAAAAGCCATACCGAAAGTATCACCAAAGTTGGTCACTATCTCTGCACGAATAGATTGTGCACTATCAGCAACACCAATTACTTCAACAAAAGTACTAAGATCAGATGGAGGGTGGCCCTTTACAGAAATTTGCTTTTCATCTGTCGATCTCCCAATGAGGCCACCACCATCAGGTCTTACTACCTGAATCACTGTCCGTACTCTTCGGCCCACATAGCTGCGAAGCAGATCACCATTGACAAGGACAGCTGGGTTCGATGTATCCATCTCCTACAAACACTTTAAACAGCAAAAGGTTTTCAAGATCTGATTCGTTCACTCAACTTAGAAACCAAATAACTTTCGAGCAGCTAGACGACTAGGTATATAGAGTCGAGACCTCAAAGAGAACAGCAGAAACCCCCAGATGCATTTTATCGAACATGTGGTGTTCATGCAAATTAAGTTGATACATGGTGTAGTATATTTTTCAGGATTATTAAACGACAGAATCACGATTAGTAAAACAGTGATCCATATCCCGAACCCTACTAAAATGTGAAGTACATAGAGAGAGAAAAGAAAGGGGATTTCTAAAGTGTTTTCTTGTGAATCACTCGATGAAGCGGCCTATACGCCAAAACCGGTATGTTTCCATTACCAGTATCGACATATCGCCAATTTGTAGAAAACTAGACATATACTGTTAACTGATGAAAGCGCATAACAACGTTACAATCAAAGAATTTTACAACACAAACACACAATGGGACAAAGAAAAATAGAAGAGTTCATCACCAACCTGTTGCCGTGAGCTGAGTCGATCAGAGAAGATTTTCGGGGAGACGATCGGTGATGCAGAAGCGCAGATTGAAAATTCTTTGAATTGGACTGATACTTTTGGAGCCCTAATGCCATAAGAGGCGGTAAAAGTTCCCGCCAACCCGTAACTGGTGTGGGTCGGCTTTCCGAATAAACAGGACCCGATTTATGTTTTGATAAGATTACAAAATTTATGGAAATGATTTTTAGTTCAAACAGAAATATTTGGGGCTAGCCAAATATAGGTTACGACTTATGGAGTTATGGGTAGATGTGCATACCAAGAACCTTGTTTTTTTATCATTAAAAAAATTAAAAAAAAAAAATGCAAAATTGGTCCTTATGTTTGAAAAGAAAAAATTGTACATAGTATCCAAAAAAAAAAATTCCACTTGCATGCAAAATCAAGTAATTCTTGTAGTTTTAATCTTGGAAGATTTGAAAAGTTTGTTTTTTCATTTTAATTTTTTTTTTGAATTTTTTTTTTCTCTTCTTTTAACACCTTCAAATAAATAAAAGGGCAAACAGAAAATTGCCTATTCACACTACATGTACCTTCTTTCTCTTTCTCTTACATACACACCATGCTTGTCTCTAAATGGTTGTCGGGAGAACCACACAAAGAGCTCTCCATCTATCTGTTATCGGCGTGAATTTAAATAAGTTATGATATTGTGACTTGGTAAGTAATTTGCAACTCTTAAGTAATTGTTCTTAGTCGGAAAAGTACCACAAAACAGCGGAGCTTCAGGTATGACTATGTGACAACCGTCAAAGTCAAATTCAAGTCAAAGTCAACAAGTCAAACTGGTCAAACTTAACTAGTAATTTTATGTTAAAAGTTATTCTAAGAAAATGTACATTTGTATGTCAAGAATCCAAGTGTCTCAGACATTTTATGTGTTTAAGCAATGTAAAACCCTAAGAATCGAGTTAAACGCATCAAAACACGACTTTGGAGCCTTTTGGGGACTTAAAATAATCATAAACGAAGCATAACGGGGTTCACGAACCTTGCATTGCGAGACAATACGATAATATTGACTAAAAATAAATCTCTCCCAAATCTCTCTCAACTTTTTATAGTCATCCAGGTCATCCCGACCCTTAACTTGGCCAAAAATCACTCAAAACGGGAAGTTTACTTGAAAAATAACCCTTTAGGACCGAAACCCTAATGGAACCGAACCTCTTAGAAGCGAAACACCTTAAGAGGACCGAAGCTTCTCAGAACCGAAGGTCCCCTTCAGGACCGAACTACTCAGGACCGAACCTCCCTTCCGAACCGAAGTCAACTATAGAACCGAAACCTCTTGCAGCCGAAATGAACCGAGCCCTCGGTCCATTTCGCTTCTTTCCTCCTTTCGGATCCGAGCCTCGCTTCCCTCCTCCCTTCGGGCCCGAGCCCTTCCTTCGGTTCCCTTGTTCCCTCTCTCGGTCCTCAACTATAGGAACCGAACCCTCGCAGGTTCGCTCCTATTGTCCGGTTTTCGACAACTTTCGCCTGTTAAGCCCGTTTTTGACGTTTTTGACGGGGATTTTTCACCAAATTCATATTTTTTATCATTTTAAACTCCCTAAACTCATATTTTATTCATATCTCAAGGATTTATTAATTATAAATCATTATTTTACATTAAGAGGAGTATTCTACACCACAAGTGGGTCAAGTGTGCCCACTTGTCTCCATGTGTCATCTTCTCATTTGTCCAACCCTATCCACATCACACAAACCAAGGCAAACATCATTTCAACTTTGCAAATTGCTCCAACAACATCTATATAAAGAAATCCCTGGAGGATTTCTTGGTTCACTTTGATCACTTCCAAAACTTGTACACTTTCTTACCTCTCTAGAGTAGGCCTGTCGAAAAAACCTGAAACCCGTTCTACCCACCCGACCCATTCCGAATTCGGGTAGAATCGGTCGGGTAGAACGGGTAACGGGTATGAACATTCGGGTAATAGGTTAACCCGATAATAATATAGGTCGGGTTTTAGGTATGGATATTTATTTTCGGGTATACCCGAATTCGTTTTTTAAATAATACCAAATATACAATGCAGTCACGATGCACACTTCAAATAAAACAAAACCATTCGTTTCCTTCTTATGAATGACGGCTCAACAGTCGACGCAAACTTGCAAAGGAAATACGACGCTGAAGCTGAAGTCCTGAACCGTCATCACAATTCTCAGTTTCTCACTATCACACGGAATGGAATTAAAAAAGTACATAACATATTATAATGATTTGTATTGTTATTATATATGTACTTGTTAATTGTATGGAGTATTTTCCTACCAAATTATTTATTAAACCAACCAGCATGTAAAAATAAAAATAAAAATAAACAAAAATTATCAATAAGTGTTATTTAAGAAATTTTCGGGTATACCCGATAATTACCCGACCCGACCTCAAACCCGAATACCCGAAACCCGAAAACACAAATTACAATATAGGTCGGGTATCGGGTGTTATTTTCTTAAGGAAATACCCGTTCTATCCGAAACCCAAAATTTTTACCCGTTCGACACCCCTACTCTAAAGAGCCTCTTTTTCTCTCTACTTCCAACCACTTTTTGAAGGAGTTCTTGAGCTATTACTTCACTTTTTGGTAAGTATTTCATCTAAACTCAAGTGTTATTCCATGTTTTCATAACATCCTTGAATCATCTACACACATTTTAACATCAAAAATCGTCTTTAGGATCATCCAACACTTCACGTGTTCATCAAGTGTTCTTGACTTGATACTCCTCGTCTTCGACCTTCCACTCTTCAAGAAATCACTCAAGGTGAGTTCATACCCCTACATTTTCCAGTTTTCTTTAGTTTTCAGGGGGGTGGGAATACAAGTTAAAACACCAAAACATATTTGAAACTTAACTTGACAGCTTACAACGGAAAAGTTGTGACCTGTTCACGAACTGTTTTACCCAACTTAAAACTTAATATTTTTCAAAACTGTTTAACATGCAAATAGTTAAGGTTTATACCTTTATAATGACTACTTGCAAATCTCCATACGATTTTTCTAAAATTTATGGTGATTTTTACAAAACTGCCTATCACTGCAACAACAAAATCGGACCAGGTTGTGAAGATGAACATTTTCACACTGGTTTGAGACCACCAAAAATTATAAGAAAATTTATGAATACAGTAGACTCTTTTTCCAAACTCTCTGAATTTACGGATTTAGTTTTCGACTTACGATGATTTTTCTATAAATACTCTAAAACAGCGACAGTTAAGGGTAAAACTGTCAAAACAAGTTTAAGGGTTATTCACACCTTGTAACATGTTGAGCAAGGTGTGTAAGATTTACACTTAGTATTTTCAATGTCATTTTTATTGAAATACAAAGTCATGCATATCAAGGTTTCATCAAATCATAACACACTACTGATAAACTATAATAGGTATAGTTTGAACACCTTGTTTATCAAGGAAACGGTAAAACAATCGATTTACAAAACGAGTATGTCATTACAAACTACGTGAACTTGTTAATGAATAAATTTGTGAGACATTCACCTTCGGGGTACTCTTAAGTACCATAGAAAAGTCATGTAGTTATAATCAGAATCTCCTGGAGGGAGAGCGTGATAGTTGTGTATAGATCTATATTGGGTCTGACAAACCTGCACCTAAGCTGCTTGCAACAGCTAGACCGGCAGGTTTGGGGTGACAAATGTCATAACATTCCGACACCTGAAGAACGTCGTATACGAGGCATTCGAGTTTTAGCATGGTTATAACAACTCACATGGGGAATTAACAAAACACATAGTTCACGGGGATTTAAGGATTTCACAAAAAGGAGTTTTATTTAAATATAAAACCACACATAAGTATGACGATTTACTTACATATACTAAGTCTTGGTTCAGTTAAGACTACAACAAACCTTTTAGAAAATATTGGATTTTCTAGAAACAAACTTGTAACAAGCTTTAAGGAGCAACATCCATTTTTCATTCATAAATTGCTTCTGAACTCACCAGCTTTAATGCTGATACTCTTTCAAAACAACTTGTATTCTCAGGTATTCAGTAATACAGGTAACTACAAGATTTTTGAAGGCAAGGCGCTAAGGCGCAGATTTTTGCAATATTTTGACATCATATGTAATTTATTTGGAAACATGTATTTTTGCAGCAATGTAACCTTTTAAATTATATTTATGATGGTTGTGTTTACTTTCTTCACTATGGTTATGATACTGAACATGACGTCCTCCGCCCCCGAACGTTTCCGCCGTTCTGGTTTGGGGGTGTGACAGACTACATATGTCAACGGGAGCGGAAATAGATGCCCCAGCCTCGCCCCCGAATCCCCCGTTTACATAGCCCTCGATTTCGCCTCCGTTCCCTCGTTTTATAGGCTTAAAATTGAATTTTTTGCTAAAAAAAGATTGCTATATTTTGGGCTAAAAAATCTATTTTTCATAACTTTAAAAGCTTAAAATCAAGTTTTTTAGGAAACTAAAAAAAATTAAAAAAACCAATATTACAAAACGGCAAATCCAACAAACTTACAAATATAAAAATATGACAAATCCAACATTACAAAAAAATATGTCATGTCCAAAAATATATGACTAATTCACTATCGTATCGTCGTATGTTGTGAAGTGGAAAAAAATCAAGAAATCTAAAATTAGATAATGTATTGTCTATATATATTTATATTAAATATATATATTTTTATATAAATATACAAACAGGGCCCCCGTGGGAGTATGGGACGGAAATACCCACTCTCGGCCCCCGTCCCGATAATAAAACGGGGTTTAATCTCACTCCCGCCCCCACCCTCGCCCCCAAATTTTTTAAAAATTAATCTTGTATGGAATTGGGGTCCTACGGAAGTTTTTGACATCCCTAGGTATGACTTTCCTCGCAGATGGTCCTTTATTCCTATAGTGTATTGTTGGTTATTTTTTATATAACCAAAACATAAACACACATGCATAAACATTAGATCTTTATCTCGAATCTTATTAAAAGAAAACGTAAACAACAAGAACGATTACATACCTATTTTATTGTGATTTTCGGATCTGATAACTATGGTTGGTTTTCCAGTTGATCTGAAAAACTCTCTTTAAAATCCATAGCATAGAAACCCATGAATTTCAGTGTGTATTTCGTATTTCTTGGTATGCTCATCATCACATGTATATATAGATGGAGATATACCATAATGTAAGA